ATGAACTGTGAAGAGAGCTTGACTGTAGCTTTTCGCGGAAATTCTAAAAAACGGTTTGTACTTAATACAAGAAATATATATATATATTTATCTGAGTTATTTTACAACATACATAGGCACGATTATAGTTAAACTATACACAATGGTCAAAACAATTAAGTTATAAGTTACAAGACACAAATATTGTCATTCACTCCCTCTAGTTTATTTTTATGGAAATAAAACATCAGTCGATAGTTGTGTGATCTCAGTTGCAGGTTATTTTTTTATTTTTCATCAGTCTATACCATAGATATAGTGGTCTCGTACAGGCTTGTCTCAGTTTTTACTTTGAAGCGAATCGTAGGAGTTCAAGGTACTCGAATCATTCATAAACCGGAGAGAAGCCATCTGGGTGATTTACTCGCGTGTAGAACCACCACGTGACAAATGGAAGTCGGCCAATCGCATATTGAGAATTGGTTCCAAATACCTCAGAGTGCTGTATCTAAATTACCCGAAGTACGAGATGGATTTAGGAAATTCAGATAAACAACCGACATTATAGACAGCTTTAACAAAAGAGGATACACTATCGAATGTTTTTCGATACTGAGAAATCATTCTGTTGGGCGGTATTATTCGCTGACTATCAAACTTTTTTTGGAAAACAGAAGATGTAGAATCATTGTTGAGGGAGTCTTTCACTCCTGAGGCAGGTGTTCCCCAGGGAGGAGGAGTTAGCCCTATTCTATTCATTATTTACGTTAACAGTATACTTCTAAAAGATCCAAATCACGGATACTCGTCACAATTGGCAGACGATGTGGCAGTTCGGAAAGGTGCTCCCCACTCCAGCTATACCAGCCACAAATCTACAACCTCAGTTAAATAGAATAGTCGAATACTACCAAAAATATCGCATTAAAATTAACGTCCCAAAGAATAAATTAGTAGTTTTTTGCAAAAATTAACAAAACACGAAAAAGAACCACCGGAAACCTATACGAACGGAGCGCTTCTTCAGACTACGACGACATCAGCAAAATTCTTAGGACTAACGTATGACTCTAAATGAACATGGATTAAACATTTAAACTATATGAAAACCAAAGCCTGGCAACGCACGAGCTTTGCCAGGAGTCTAACGGCTGAAAACACAATATAAATACACAAAACATGCATACGCTAATTGATCGAATATGTATCACGTGCAAGGACTAACAAAGCACCTAAATAAATCATAACTACATTACAAACAGTACAGAGTTCGTTACTTACAACACCATACAAAGTACCAACAAGATCAACGTGCCCAAATTTCATAGAAACGTTAACCGATAGACTCCTACATACATAGCTCGCTAAATTATTTCGCGAAAAATGGGCACAAGAATGACGTACAATGGGAAATTGGTCATTACCACATACATGATAAAGATAGGCCTAAGTACCTGTCCAATCTGAGGGTCGCGGGTTCGAATCCCCGTCACACCAAACATGCTAACCTCCTCCTTTGCCTGGTCCCAAGTCCTGGATGAGAAAGGAGGAGGGTTGGGCGCGGGGCTAGCAACTCCACCCCGTAAAAACCAACCTGCTACAAGTAACTGCAACAACACTTTCCGTTGGAATAAAAAAAAAAGTACCTGTCCACTATTAATATCTAAATTAGGAATACAAACAAAGTAAGGCCACCTAACGCTAGATTGCTGTGTTACCATTAATTTTAATTTACTGTGAGAACGTTAAAAAACTTATATACGTAAATACTCTCGTAGAAACTAGAAATTGATGGAAAATGTGAAAAGTGCTTCTTGAACTGTTCGCGATGTGTAGAACTTTGCACAAACGAATGACGAGATAGTGTGCTTAACATATTAATGTTACAATAATTACCTACCTGGACATGGCCTTGGAAGGGGTCAAAGTAAGTTCTGACCTTCTTGTAGTAATCATAATAATATCAAACAGAAATCATTCACCACATGCTAGGGGTGGGGTGGGGGGAGGAAGAGGTCAAACGAACCTGACCCTCCCAGGTCTATAAGGCCTGGAGCCGATGTCAACAAGACGTTAGCAGGACGTAGAACTATTTTCAAATCTGAATCACGGAACTCGAGGTTGAATCAGATGTTTCCAGACGTAACTATAGTTAGAAACAGACTTTATCAAAAAAGTTTCATGATTGAATCAGATGTTTCCAGACGTAACTATAGTTAGAAACAGACTTTACAAAAGTTTCATGACTGAATCAGATGTAACTATAGTTAGAAACAGACTTTACAAAAGTTTCAAGATTGAATCAGATGTTCCCAGACGTAACTATAGTTACAAACGGACTTCACAGAACAGTTCATCTTTAGAGTTGCAAAGCGCATTGCCCACTGGACTAATAGGTTGTGGGGTGATAGTTGTTTTCTAGTTTACCTGTTTTTTTTTTTCTTTCCCCAAAGCACATGTTTCTCAATACGAATGTCCGTATCAGAAAGATATAGAAATATCTCTTCATCTTTATGGCTCATATCTCGATCTGATGTCTACACTTGTTTGAATCTGTTTAGTCTGTTGAAATCGAACTGTTTGAGTCCATATCTAGGTCTGTTCGGATTTTGATTTACAGACCTGAATCAGATCTAACTCAACTAGGCCTATGTGGTTGTGTCCAGTGTGACTCACCTTAGATTTGCCTGTTTATGTCCAATCTATCAAATCTAACAAATATCTGATTGAACCCGTTCTAACTCATCCAGATTTATCTGTACACTTAGTTTCTTCTCCTTAAATTCTAAGTAACTCACATATATATATGTTTACAAACGTTTTATCAGACTTTGAAGTACGTATTGTGGTCCAGTCGAACACGTTTAAATCCTTCTATCTGGCGTATCCCACTCATAAATATACCTTCGTATGCTGTCAAATACACACATAGATACGTGTTGTGGTCCAGTCGAACACGTTTAGATCCTTCTATCTGGCGTATCCCACTCATAAATATACCTACGTGTGTTGTCAAATACACACATAGATACGTATTGTGGTCCAGTCGAACACGTTTAGATCCTTCTATCTGGCGTATCCCACTCATAAATATACCTACGTATGCTGTCAAATACACACATAGATACGTGTTGTGGTCCAGTCGAACACGTTTAGATCCTTCTATCTGGCGTATCCCACTCATAAATATACCTACGTATGCTGTCAAAT